GCAGGATCCGTGTTGCTCTTGACAAAAAACAGGATTCGTGCACACGAGTTGATGGACAGTAAAGTAACAAACATAACAGAAGAGATTGCACAGAAACCATAAGATGTGGCCATCAACGCCATTTATTTTGTATACTCACCAGAAAACAAGCAAGCTGTTAACTACAAGTAGTCCCCGACTTACAACGGTTCATTTAGTGACCGTTCAAAGTTACAACAGCACTGAAAAAAGTGACTTATGACCCTTTTTCACACTTATGACTATTACAGCATCCTCCATGGTCACGGGATCAAAATTCAGATGCTGGGTAACTGTTTCATATTTACAACGGTCGCAGCATCTGGGGGGGGTGTCACTTAACGATCATGTTACTAATTTAAAACCTGCAGTGATTCATTTAACAACTGTGGCAAGAAAGGTTGTAAAATGGGGCAAAACTCACTGAACAACTGTGTCACTTAGCAACAGAATTGTTGGGCTCAACTGTCATCGTAAGTTGAGGACTGCCTGTATTGCCAGATTGTGCAAGTTATTCTCTGTTTGTTCCCCATCACAACAGTGGTAGGCAGAGATTCATGTGATGGAGATTTACCTCCCACTAACATTCTGTCTCATCTGCTCTTTGCAGAAAACAAGAACTGAGATAACCACATTTCCAGCTCACATTTTTATCTTGCTCTGCCTGGGCACAAATGGAGAGACCTAGATATACATGTCTGTGCCCACTTTGGGTGTCGTGCTTTGAAATCAACAACAAGCCACTTTTTATTTCATTGCCTGCAGCTGTCTCCAATAGTTGAAAAGGGCAAGTGTTTGAAAAGGAATTGTGTGCCAGGCATCAGGAGAGAGACAGAGAGAGAGAGAGAGAGAAAGAAGAGAGAGAGAGAGAGAGAGAGAGAGAGAGAGAGAGAGAGAGAGAGAGAGAGAGATGGAGACAGACGGACAGAGAGAGAGACAGACAGAGAGACAGAGAAAGAAAGAAGAGGGAGAGAGATAGAGATATAGAAATGGGGGAGAGAGGGAGAGAGGGAGAGAGAGAGAGAAGCATTAGTTTGTAAATATCAACACAATGATGATTGTGTGCAGTCGGTAAATAAAATCAGCAGTCTAGAAATTGGGTCATGCAGTTGACTTACTCTTGCCTGTGCAAATCACACTGGAAAGGAGAGGAATAAGGCAGAGATCTGAAGACATCTCTCAACAAGCCCATGATAGTGTAAGACGATATTGTTACTCATTGCCGAATGTTCATCCATAGGAGATGGACTCATGCATTTCTGTGCCATCATGGGTTTTCCATTGGATTTCTGTAGGTAGGACATGTAGTATGGGCTTAATCTTGGAACTGTATGTGGGGAAAATCAGTGACATTCCAAAAATGTCTTCTGATGGGAGACAAGATGCTCCTCAAAGGCTAGCAGATAGTCCAAGAAGATGTGACTCAACATTGTCGACTCTAGACCAGTGTTTTTCAACCTTGGTCACTTCAAGATGAATGTACTTCAACTCCCAGGATCTGGATATAGAAGGTGCAACTCTAGTGACTATCAGAGATAGTGGACCTTATATCCCACAAGTGACTCATTGCTTCTATTAGCTGGTACTTTGTAAAACCTGCAGTGCTGCACACCAGGGAGGACATCAGATTGGGGAAAGCTGGACCAACCTAGAGCAGGGGTCTCTAAACTTGGCCACCAAGCTGGCAGGGAAATTCTGGGAGTTGAGGTCCACAGATCTTGAAGTGGCCAAGTCTGGAGAACCCTGCTCTAAACAAACCCTAGCTTCCTAGTAGAGAGAGCTGCAGTGACCTGCCTAAATGGTGGCATTGTGTCTCTTGCAGCAACACTTTCTTTGAAGTGAAATCCATCTCCAACCAAGTCTGGAAATTCCAGCGGTATCAGCTGATCATGACTTTCCACGACAGGCCTGTCCTCCCACCACCCATGATCATCTTCAGCCACCTTTACATCATCATAGTTCGCCTCTGCTGCCGCTGGAAGAAGCACAAAGAAGGGGACCAGGATGAACGTGATCGTGGGCTGAGTATGGGCAGAATGTTCTTTCCTAGTAGACACCTAAGCTCCAATCATTGGGGGTCCCTTTCTTGTCTGAAAAGTCCCTCAGGCAAGAAACAGAAAACCAGCAGAACAAGGAAGAGGTTGGGCTACAACCTTCTCCCATATGTTGCAAGGTTTTTTTTCATGACCTATAAACTGCAATCCATGAATGACCTAGAACCATAGAATGGCAAAGCTGGAAGAGATCACAGCATTCATCTAACTCTCTTCAATATGCAGGAAAGTCCATTAAACTACCTATGATCTGTTGGTTGCTAACATTCTCCTGGTTAATTTTTTTGAGAATGTTAAGACAAAACTGGGTACTACATTTAATGGATGGTTTCATGGAGTTTTTTTTTCCTGCACCTTGTTGAGGTTTGGCTGGATCTAGACAGTCCCCAGTCACTGCATGAGATTGTTTATGAGTAAATGTAGTCAAGATTGGGCTAGGAATATTCCAGAATGCTTTCCAGTAATTATTTTGACAGCCCAACTGTTGCATTATTGTTCTCACAGCAAGATGGCCAGTTGGATTTAGATTAATGGTATTTGATGATGTTCTCTACCATTGCTTTCCCCCAAAGTTTTAAATCGGTATCTCTAGCAAACCTGTTTCTGTTCCCTTTCCATGTTTCAGCCTGATGACAACAGAGCAGAGATGACACGAAATAGCAGCTTAAAAATCTGCCCTTCCATCTGTTCTTTTAAGTAGTGTGAAAATGCAGAGGGCAATTGTTGCTTCTTCAAAAACCATGCCCCTTGCTAGGTCATCCACGTTACACACCTGCCACAATAAAACAGTATGACCCAATAACTCTCTTTCTTTCTGTCCCTTTCAGAGCTGTTTCTAAGCGATGAAGAGTTGAAGAAACTGTACGAATTTGAGGAACAATGTGTGGAGGAATATTTTCAAGAAAAAGAAGATGAAGAGCAGTCCTCCAATGATGAACGCATTCGAGTTACTTCTGAGAGGTATCCAACTGGAATCGGCCCTTTTCCCCAGGAAGCAAAAGAAAATACTGGCTAGAAACATTTTGGTATTTTTCTCCTGGAAATGCCATTTCTGCATCCACTTATCTTACAGCGGTTGAAAGTTAAAGGTCTTGGCTTCTAGATCTCACCCAGGTTAAACTTGAGAACCAACTGAGAATTATCTTCCAGGATTAACTTCTGAGTCCTCCAGTTAAAACTGGAAAAGGGGATAACTTTTCCTAGTTATATTTCTTGTCCACTGAAAGTCATGGAAACTGTTGCCTTTCACGAACCCAAGGTTCTTCCTTAAGGGAGTCCAACTGACTGATTCATGCTTCTTTGTGTTTTAATGCCTTCATACTTGGCCATACTTCCATCCTTTATTTCAACCCCCCCCCACTTCCTAATTTGGAACTTATGATTGGGCAGTGGACAATTGGACATCCGCCTGTTTTGCTTAACCCTCCGTTTCTTTCTACCCTCTAGAGTTGAAAATATGTCAATGAGATTAGAAGAAGTGAACGAAAGAGAGCATTTCATGAAAGCTTCTCTTCAGACGGTGGATCTTCGGCTTTCTCAGCTGGAAGACACCTCTGGCCGAATGGCAACTGCTTTGGAGAAACTGGCCGGCATTGACACGGCAGAGCTGACTCTCCCACGCTCCCGGGCCTCCTCTGAATGCGATGCTGCTTACCTTTTGAGGCAAAGCAGTGTGAATAGTTCGGACAGCTACAGCATCTATCGTTACCAGACGGATGAGCTGCTCTATGACACGTTGCCCATGCCAATGTCTCCAGCACTGGCATTGCATAAAGCCGATTCCAAGATGCAGCTGGCCCCAGAACGTCAAGGAAGCCTCCGTTCTGCCTTGGGCCCAAATGCGGTGACCTCTGTGGAAAGCAGTAAAAACACCTTAGAGGTAGTTCAGGCTGTCCCTAGATCATATTCCAGTTCAGTAGACCAACAGGACCAGTCTCCAAGTTATGAGTCCATACCTCAATCTCTTACGCAAACAGAAAGTATTGGGAACAGTCAGTCTGGAATCCAACCAGCTCTGCGGTTACCTTTAGGGAAGACCAGATTGGGAGCCACCATCTCTTACCCCTTGGACAAGCCCAGAGCAAGGAGATACTACCCAGCTGAAACAGGCAACGCTTCTCATGCCTCCATAATGAAGTCAAAGAGTTTTATTTTTGCACAAGGTAGAGATTTGGTTGCCGGATTTAACAACTGGACACTGGTGGACCAAGAATATAGGACTATCACGAACCAAGTATGCCCTTCTGTGGTTCAACAATGGACTGCTGAATGGAAGTATGAACTTCAGCAAAAAATGGATGATGACCCCCCTCCCGAATATCCAGGTATTGTGCCTCAGCTGGAGAATCCAATAGAGCAGAAGTATTTGCTGGCCAACCCTGAAGAGACTAGTGAGATGGGCAAAGTTGAAGGTCTCAGTCCCTCCCCTGTGTCCTCCCCTCTCATCCAGAAGAGGACAACTTGCAACCGAGACTCGGTGAAGTTAGGAAGAACTTGTAGGAATCCACCGGGGCGGTCAAGGAGTTTACACAGCCGTTCTCAGAGAACCAAGTCCATTAAGGAGAGGCTAAATAGGCCAGGACATGCCAGGAGCATCAGTAGCTTGATGGTACCTTCTGGATCTCCAATGGAGGAGTTGAAAACAAATCAAGAAAAACCTTCCACAGAAACCACATGCTAAACGTGGCCTTTTTCGCTGAGTGAGCCACAGGAGATGAAATTGGACTGGCTTTGCTAAGCCTTGACAAGAAAAGACTGATAGGACAACACTTCTCAACAACCTGAAAGAAGGTCACACACAAGGAGACCAAACCTGTTATCTCATTTTCTTGTGTAGCCTACTCTCAATGATGGACAAAGGGAAGCAGATTCCAACTGGACATTAGAAAAAACCTCCTAACGGTGTGAAAACTGATGACTAAGAGAAGAGGAGAATCCACTTCATTGGAGGTTCTCCAGCACAGGCTAGATAGCTGGTTTGCTAGAGAGGCTTTCAACCGGATCCTGAATTGAGCAGTGGAGCCAACCTGATGGTTTCCATCTCCTCTTCCAACTTGAGGACTCTATGAATGGATAAACGCAGCAGAGATAAAGAAAGATAAATAGACATGATGGAATGACAGCTTAATTGTCTCCCTCCCTCCTTTCCTTCCTTCCTTCCTTCCTTCCTTCCTTCCTTCCTTCCTTCCTTCCTTCAAGACCATCAGCCCTTCACAGTTCAAAGATGAAGTCTTTACCATTATTCCCAACTCATGCAAGAATCTCTTTAATTTTGCAGAAAAGCAACCTCCATCGAGGTCCTGATTTCCTCTTCTCCTTTCTCCAAGAATGCTTCTCTCCCACCCTTCCCCAAATATTTTTTTTTACAAAAAAAATAAATGGTTTATTTAAATAAGAGAGGACTTGGGTTTAATGGAATGCAGAAGTTAATTTTTCACCCACAATGGGGCAAAGGTTTAGAGTTACTTTCTGGGTCTGTCCATTTTGTGAAGGGAATTTCACAGGGCTTTTCTTTAGAACTTCTTTAGAAGTTCATAAGCAGTAAAGTGTAAAGTGTTTTTCATCTTTGGCAACTTTCAGATGGGTGGACTTCAATTCCCAGAATTCCCCAGCCAGAATGCCATCATTTCTAGCTAAAAAAAATCCATGGAGATGGAGTGCTATTGTTTCTCACCTCAACAATTTCAACATGGGTGGACTTCAACTCCCAGAATTCCCCAGCCAATTCAGGAAGGAATTCAGAGGGGGTTTTTTTGCTTGCAATTTTCTCTCTTTTTCATTCTCTCTGTTCTTATGTCCATTCTGTTGCAAACATTGCTGTGTTCATCTGTGACTTCGAGAAGAGCTTCTCCTTTTAAAGCAAACAGGTTAAAATCTAAAATGGCTAGAATATTTTTTTTTTATGCCTGTGTCTTTAAAACTGCCAAACAAATCTCTCTGGAGAAAATCCAGGATGGGTTTGAATGCGGGGGATGAAGGAGAATATTTCCTAACCAGCTCCATCCAGCTGAGCCCTCACTTGGCTGGGCATTTTGTTATTTTAACCCAGAGGTCAATTGCAACTTTAGAATTCAGGGGTCATGCTGGTTAATTGGAAAATCTGCCAGACTCAGTGAACATCTAAGATGCAGAGCTGTCTATCATGTTTGACCTATGGAATTCAAAAGGATGCTGGAAGCTTTGAACTCGGAGCATTGCATGCAGGCAGGTCTCGTTTTTGTTTATTTGCAGCTCCCTCGCTATTTTATTTGGGGGGATCCCAGATTTGGACTGCAAAATCCAAAGGGCCTCTAGGGGGCAGCACCTGCACACACCCCCAAAATGGCTTTGCTGTCCCCTGTTGGCCAGGTGCTAGCAGTTGACCCTCATGCTAGCAGTCCATATCTGGCAGACCTCCTTTCTTTGAAACTTCACTTTTAATCCTGGGTTTTCCACCTAAAGTTGAGTGTTTCTCAACTTTGGCAACTTTAAAATATGTGGACTTCAACTCCCAGAATTCCCCAGCTAGCACGCTTGACCGGATTTAGCATCGCGTTTAAAAACAAGAGGGGGGAAGGAGAAAGAAAGCCCCACACATTTTTGTCCCTCTTGGTCTGCCGTCCGCGAGCACCGCCTACTCCGCCTCCGCCTCCCTCCCTCCCGTGGTTTTCCCCCATCCTCCCAGAGACCCTCCCCGCGGTTGCTAGGATACTCGAATAGGCGGAGCTCCTCCCCCTCCTCCGCTCTCCTCGTTGGCTCTGCCCTCACGGCGACTCCTCCTCTCCCCGTCGGGGGCGTGGCTTCGCGAGCCCAAGGCGCTTCCCCTCCGGCGGCGTTCAGTGGCTCTGCCGCTTCGGCCGGAGGAGGCGGAGTGGGAAGGGGTGGGGCGTGCTCGCCGCCCCGCCCAGCGAGGTGGGGCCTCCATCCCCGCCCGGCGCTGCCGGGGAGAGCGACCAGGGCCGGCCTGCCTGCCTGCCTGGGGACCCGCCGCCTCCGCCGCCGCCGTCGTCATGTTCTCCCTCCGAGCCCCCAAAGCCACCTTCAAGTCCTACCTGTTGCCGCAGGTAAGCGCCCGAGGGTCCGCAGCCCGCCCCATGGCCCGGGCGGGCTCCTCCCTCCCTCCTCCTCCCCTCCGTCCCTCCAGGCCTGGGGCTGCCCGGGGAGGGGGGGTCCTCCTCCGGGTCCGAGAAACTCACCTGGCGGAGTCTAACCCTAACCGTCCCCTCCCCGCGGAGCAGACCCGAGCAGCCCGCCGGGGGAGGGGTCCCTTTGCAGGCGAGCCCCTCCAGGCCCATCGCTGGGGGGGGGAGGTCTTTAAAGAGACTAGAGACAGTCACTTGTCTGAAAGGGTCTAGGTTCTCCTGCTTGAGCAGGGGGCTGGACTAGAAGACCTCCAAGGTCCCTTCCAGCTCTCTTCTATTCTTAAAAGCCCCCCCCCCCCAAACCTCCCTCGCAGAGCTGCAAGAGGCGGCGGTGACTCACCTGCTCGCCCAGGTGAGCCCCCCTGCCCTCAGGGATCGGCTGCTCCCTGCACCCCGCGAAAGGAAGATCCCTGCCGGGCAGGCTGAGCCCAGCCAGGACACCTTTTCCTTTGCCCCTCCGGGCAAAGATCACCCTGGCTTAATTGCAGGCAGTCCCACAATTGCAGGGATGGGGAAGCCCCCGGGGGCTGAGCCCAGAGTGCCCCTCTCCCTGGTCTTGGATGGTCTCTCTGGAAGATGCCCCTTTATTTCCAGGCTTGGCCCCATAAGGATACTTCGGCTGGACCACCTACCGTCCCAGGGGTCTCCCGTTTAACATCCCTCCCCCTAAAAATGCATGGGTTTTCTTTAGCAGGGCTGGTTTATTCCTGCTAGCGAATCTGGTTTTTCAAGAGCTGCTTAGCCAGGAGAAAAGGCAAGCAATGCATCAGGTGGTTATCTGAAGTTAAGGGGAAAAAAATAGTCCATTCGGTTGATAAGATCAGAGGAATAAACACACACCTTGGAGCGAACAGTTTGCCTTGCAGAGATTTTGTGCGTTTGCAACATGAAAAGAGTTTTCTTTGCTGTAGTTGCCTAGCGGAATAAACACCCTGGAAAGCAGATTCACGTTTGGCCTTTTGGATTTGAGCTCCTCTTTAAATTCTCCACCCGGTTAAAGCCATGAGATGAGGGATGAGGTTTAAAAGCCAACCGGGTATCCTCTTTGGAAAATGAGGATACCCCTCGATTGGGGTGTTCATTTCCAGAAAGTCACTGTTTTCATTGTCATGGGAAAAATGTGCAAATAGCTAATAATTTTAATAGGCCAGGGAGTTATTTTTGGAAAGGATACTTCAGAATGGAAGAAGGAGCCTTAAGGGTCAATAAATCAGCCAGTTTTACGGTGGGAGCCTCTGAATGCAAAAACATTTGGATGGAGTTTGCTGGTTTGAAAAGAAGGGGTGCCGTCACCACAAAGTTCACAGACACAAAGGAAAGTGAACCACCAGGCTTGCTCAAACTGGCTTGACCATCTTTTACAGGTCACTTAATGCTCCAGGTGACGGTGCTTTCTGAACTCCGTTGTTGCTCTGTTCCTAGAGTTGTTTCTTAACCCGGTCACTTTAAGATGGGTGGACTTCAACACCCAAAATTCCCAGCCAGCCTAGTACAGGTAGACCTCAATATACGACTACAATTGCAACTAGATTTTCTGTGGTTAAGCAAGGAGGTGATTAAAAAATTCATGCCCAATGTTATGGCCCTTTTTGCCATCCTTGTTCAGCAAATCCCTGCAGTTGTTAGGTAAATCAGGCTATTGTTAAGTGAATCCATTCCCTTCCCCCCCCCCTTGACTTTGGTTGTGGGAAGATGGCTGGGAAGGTTGCAGATGGCCATCGCGTGACCCTGGGATGCGGCAAGCGTCATAAATACATGCCCATTGCCAAACGCCCAAATTTTGATCACATGACTGTGTGGGGATGCTGCCGAAGTTGTACGGGTGAGGATAGGTCCTAAGTCGGTTTTTTCCGCTGTTGTGACTCCAAATGATCACTAAACGAATGACTGCAAGCCGAGGACTTACCTGGACTCGGCCGATTTGATGTGTTGTTGCATATTTGCCCTTCTCCTCCTGTTTTTCAGGCTGAAGACAAGATCATTCCGGAACCTCGACTTAAGAAACTGGAGCCTATCCTACTGCCAGGTAAACATTCCAGACAGGTGTCAGAACAGGCTTTGCACCCCACAGGATTTTCTGCCGGAACGCATTTCTGAATCTTTAAGAGATTGCAAGACCCAGGTTGTTCCTTAAGGGCCTGTTTTCCTTTTTTTCGGCATTTGTTACTCCTTTTTCAAGCCACAACGTTCCTTTTTTCTTTGTGTTGCCAGCCTGGACATTGTACCTTTTGGACTATTTGTTCTACATATTGTAATAGGTCACCTGTCCAGGGCAGGCTCTTTGAAGATCCTCTGGCTTTCAGAAATAGTCCTTTTTTAAACGATAGATATTCGGGATGTATTCACCAAACTGATCTCCTGCTTTTGAGCAGACGGCTTTTCATAAAGGAAGAAAGGAGAGCTGTATTCATTTCTTTGCCAGCTGGCACTGGCTATAAAATTAAATCGCCTGGCAGGCTTGTGACCTTTATTTCTGCAAATAACCAGGAATGGAGGAGGAGGAGGATTGTGCCTGCTTGGGCCTGATAGAGCAAAGTAGAGGGATTGCCTCTTTTCCAGCTGCTCCGTTATCTCCTATAAAATCCCCCAAAGCTCATTGCGGGAGGAGAAGCTGCTTGCTACAAATCAGGAAGAAAATAAAGACATCTAACAAATGTCTGCCAATATTTATTGGCTGTTTTTCCGGGTTGTTTTTTTTAAATACTTGATGCATGGATATTTTACGAATAACTTTACAGAGTCAAGAAGCAGGCATTGAGCATGGAAGGTATTGTTCTTAATGTTTTCTTGCTCTGAATGGTTTGGAGGAATAAGAATTCCCTAAGCCAGGGGTAGGCAACCTTGGCTCTTTTATGACTCGTGGACTTCAATTCCCAGAATTCCTGAGCCAGCAATGCTGGCTGGGGAATTCTGGGAGTTGAAGTCCACCCATCTTCAAGTTGCGGAGGTTGAGAAACACTGACTTAGCCTTTCATTTGTACCAAGTGATGCTTGCCTGGATTTGAATTTTTGGAAGTGTCTTTTGGGTTATTTGAGCAAAATCTGTAAACGAATAATTATGCTACTAGCAGAGCTGAGCTTCCCATGCTTGTATCTCTCTTGCACTGATGCTCAGTGATTTATTAGCATTTTGTTTCTCTACCTGTGTCCCTGGATTTTCCTGATCATGGCCGTAAGAACAGTGGGAGCAGATGCTGGATTGTGACCCGCTAAGATCTCAAAGGAATCTTGTACAGACAGGGACACCTTATCTTGATAATCCTAAGCTGGCCATAAATTTAAAAGGGTGATATAGATTTTTCATTGCCTTTCTGGGAACTGTGTTTGCGTAACAAGGGGAGAGGGGGAGGTAGTTGTGAGTTGGAGAGTGATATTCCTAAATTCGGTTGCCTGAAGGGGCAGACATCCACCGAGAAAATGCAAATACACTCCTGGTGGGAACTCATATTTATAGGTCATTTCCAGCATGCAAACTTCAATGCAGTGAGTGTGTGACATCAGTGATGTTCAAAAGTACTGGGGTTTGGATCCCCACCAATTTAGAGAACTGGGACTCTTTTGACTTCCCAAGACCAACTCTGCTTACTGACCGTTAGCCGCACCTCAATTTAAGGCTACCGCATCCCCCCTTTTCATCTCTACTCAGCTCCGCATTCCAGCCTTTTTATGTCAGATGGTAACATGTTGATATTTCCTGTGTTAGTCCTTTCTGGAATTTCCTGGTTGATGTAGGAGAAGCACAATGCTCCTTCGGGTGTTAACTGAGGACAAATCGGTGTTAGATCCTTGTAATCAAGACTGGAAGCATCTCTCCTTGCCAAACCCCATCTCTCTGCCCAGCTAACTCTTTTCCTTTTCTTTGAAGACTGCACCATCGACTAAATCCAAAGGAATAAATAAACACATTGTTGTGTTAGGAAATTCAGATGTTGCCTGCTCTTTTTAATAAATGCATCTGAGACAGAGCTCTAATTTCCCAGTAAATCTTTGTTCTAGGCATTTGTGGCTTTGATTTGCACGGCTTGCCTTAGGATTTCGGCTGGCTCTTAATTCTGGTGTGGATTCTGCAGTTATAAGTGTGTTGCTGAGTTTTGTTGGGTTCTTGGAAAACAAATGAGCTTTTTCTTTTTTTGCCTCTGACATCGCTGTTTGAGTCATTAGCACATGTTTATCATTCAATGCTTGGAACGGCAAACGGAAGGAGAAGGGTGCCGGACTGTGGCTAAATTTAGAGTAGGCACAATGTTCGAATACCTGCAGATGGAGACTTCCTTTCTTGAAGATCATTTTCTCACTTTTGGTCCTTGTAAGTTTATGATTGGGGAATAGAAAAATATTAAAAATGGACTCTTCTTTTGGATTGGCGTTCTATGAACAAGGAGAAATTTTAATTATTTCTAAGTGGGTTTGCAAGGAAAGCATGGGCCACCTGCAGTTTCTCTCAAAGATGTGAAGTTCCATTAGCTCTGGGTCAACAGCAAAAAGAGTTTCCTCCCTTTAAATGTGAGTTTTTCATTGCTTAAAAGCTTTAAAACCTCCTGTCTTTGAAAACATAATGGGTCCAACTGGGACAGTTTAATATAAATAATTTAAAATCCATCAATAAAAGTAGATCATGCTTTAGAGCATTCATTGGGCTTTTTAGAAATAAGTTTTTAGTAGGCCAAGTAGTGCTTCAGATTCAGTTTCAAAAGGACACAAGGACCCAGATGTAGCATCTTTCTGTAGCTATTTAAAGTAATTTCATCTTTTCTTAGAATTCCAAGGTAGCTGTGGAGAACAGCAAACCAGCCAAGGAAAGATGCAGCTGCTTTAAAGAGATACAAGGACATGTTGTGCTCACGCCCCTCATGCTTCAAAGAACTTTTTTCAATCAAATCCAGAGTTTGTACAACACTAATTTTTAAGCCATTTTTGACGAACAACATTCTGAAGTCACAAGTTCAGCTAATTTAATTCAGTGGCTCTTCACTTCGGCTCCATGGATTTCTTGGCGATCTGTGGATGGATTTCAGAGGGTCTGTGAATTTGGAAAATGGAGGATAAGGGAAGAGCCCCTTTATTCAATTTTCTACAATTTTTGCAAAAAGGAGTCCATAAGTTTCATCAAAGGTCCCATGCCACAAAGCAATTAAGAACCGCTGGTTTCGTTGAAGATTTCGTGCAGGGATTCCACCAGCTTTCTTTTCTCTCTTCAGGTGAAATTGTGGTGAATGAAGTGAACTTTGTGAGGAAATGCATCGCAACGGATACGAGCCAATATGACCTCTGGGGAAAGCTGGTCTGCAGCAACTTCAAGATATCCTTCATTACAGATGACTCCAACCCTCTTCAGGTTGGTTGGATGCCACGATATGAACAGAAGTGCGCAGAAACTGTGGATTAACTTGACAAAATGTCTCCAGCGTCCAGGTCATGGTTGTCCCATGCTTTTTTGTCCAAAAGGCAACTGGACTTTCTTGGGTTTTTTTTTTCCTTGAAGACGTTTCACTTCTCATCCTAAGGCTACAAGAAACTGCAGGTTTCAAGGGTCTTCAGTCAGAACTGAAGAAGCTTCTTGGATATGAAGCGAAATGGTTTTAAGGGGAAAAAAAAACAGAAAAGTCCAGTTCCCTTTTGAAAAAGCACCTTTGGGTTTAACTTGGCAGCTCTGGTTGCGTTGGGGGGTTTCCCTGTTCTCTTTTGTAAGGACCCTGTGTGGAATCCCCACACGTGCCTAGGAGGTTTCCTCTCGTAGACAGAGGAAACCTCTTTGAACTCAGCTTCCAGTCCTGCTGTGCAATTCTCATTTTGCAATACAGCGCAGGGAAATAACCCAATGAAAAAATATCCAGATTTTGCAAGTTCAGCTGTCTGGTGTATGTACCTCTTTTCCCTGAATTTGCTCTTTGGAAGTGTAGCAAAGGCAGATAGATATTGAGGGTTTTTTGGGGGAGGGGTATTGGGGGGGGAAGGAAAAGCAAGCAAGCACTATCTTTTTTAAAAAAAAGAAAAGGAAACTTTAAAATATATATAAGCCCCTGGGGCAGGGGTTGGACTAGAAGGCCTCCAAGGTCCCTTGTAGCCCTGGGATTCTGTATAGGTTATTTTTTTAGAAATACCTTACAAAACTTCGGAATACGAACATGGATGCTAAAATTAAATAAGTCCTGTTTTTTTTAGTATAAATAAGAATGGAACAAAAGGAAGTGCTTTCGAATGACTTTGGAAAAGTATCCCAGTGTCAGGCTGAGATGGAAAATTTGGAATCCAACAATATCTGGACAGCTGCATTAAATGCCAGTCACATTAGTTGCGAGTCCAAACAGTTAGGAATCAGGGAGGGGCCACAACTTTTTTCTTGAAATTTAAATCATAATACTTGTGACACTGTGAATCACAGATAGTCCTCGACTTCACTTCTGTTGCTGGGTGAGACAATTAAGTGAATTTTGCCCCATTTTGTGACCTTTCTTGTCATAGTTGTTAACTTAGTAACATGGTAGTGAGTCTGGCTTCTCCATTCACTTTGCTTGTCAGAAGGTCGCAAAACGGGATCACGCGACCCCCGGGACGCTGAAGCCGTCATATTTATCAGATGCCAAGCATGTGAATTTTGATCACGTGATCCTGGGGATGGGGATGCTGCCATGGTCCTAAGTGTCAAAAACAGACATAGGTCACTTCAGCAGTCAAGGACCATCTGCATATAAACTGGTTTATTTTTATTTATTATTATTTTTATAATGTCCATCTTCCCTACAAGGCGAGTCTGAACATCTAATAGCATTGTTCTCCCTGCGCCCCCTTAAAAAAAATCCAGAACAATGCTAATTTTGTCCTTTGTGCAGCAAGACACGACTAAAATTAATGTAGTTCATGTGTTTTATCTTGATTACATCTCTTCTGTTTCAGAAGTTCCAATACAGAAACCTTCTCCTAGGAGAACATGATGTTGCCTTGACATGTGTAGAGCAAATCGTCACAGGTAACGGCCAGATGAGTTACTAAACCTCTCCACTAATTAGGAATTGAACGCAGTTGATCACTTGCAGAAACAAAAATACATATTTACAGGCTTCATAAGGCCTACTTTTCATATGCTTTGTGTCAAGGTTCCAACTGTCAAACCCAACCAAGAAAGACCTTCGAGACATTCCGATCTCTTAATGTAAAACTTTATGGAGTACATCACTTCGGCACTAATGAAAGCAAAACCAGCTCTGGCAATACCCCTCCCAAACCCAAATAGTAAAAGCATTGAATTCTCCCTCCTCCCTCTAGGTCAGGTCACGTTGCCCAATCAAGTAGAAAAAATATTGTTATGAGAAAGCATCTCTAGGTCTGACCAGACACCTGGTGTAACGGCCTTGAGTCTCATGGTCTGGCTTCTTAATCTTTGAAGTCTGCATTCCAAGCCTCTCCCCTCCCCCCAAGTTTGTAGGCAAGCTGGGAAGCAATATTTGTCACACCAGCAAAACCGTGTTTCAAAACTTGACACTTTATTTTAAACAAAAGCTTATAATCTCTCCTGCCTCTTCCCTCCTTTCTTGCAGTGAATGATACCAAGAGGAAGCAGAAAGTCCTCGGCCCCAATCAAAAGCTGAAGTTTAATCCAACGGAATTAATTATTTACTGCAAAGACTTTCGGATTGTGCGGTTTCGTTTTGATGAAGCTGGATCGGAAAGTGCCAAAAAGGTACGGGTCTTGAATATTTAAGAGTTGAAATCATGGGCAGAGGGAGCTATTGAACGAAGGAAATTTTTGCAAACTATTAATGGCAGGAAGAAGAAGAATTGAATTGAATCCACTCATCAAATAATAGGAATTTAATAAATAATCAACAAATAACTGAAATCTGCATAAGGAGTGACTGTCCTCTCATCCACTTTTCCTCAAAGAAGCAGATCTGAAAATTTCACACGTAGCTTCTGGTTGGTTGGAATCAAGAATTTTCCTGACAGATGGTTCAACCTTCTGCACGTATATAAAACCTCCCAAATGAACATTTGGGCTTGGGTTAAAAAAGAAAAAAAAATGGAACAAGAAGACCATTGAGTGTTACATGTGCCACTAGTTGGCACCTGGTTTAAATTTCTCATACAGCTGTGTATTTAAGCAAGGGTGTTTTTTTCCCCTCTCCAGCTGGTGGAAACTCTAAATATCTAACATCCTGAAACAGACGTGGACTTAGTTGATCTTATTTAGTGGTCCAAAATAGATTTTTTTTTCCTCCCCACAAAATGGAAGCATAGAACACAAAGGGACTTTTCAGTGTGTTGCTCACATTGGTGGTTCCAAATGTTGACACTGGCCGACATTAGTAGAGTTTTAAACTCACAACACGTACAGTGCAAATAATTTGGAGTGTGTTGCTTTGGGTGCTTTTGCACCAATCGTGCACCTATCAACTTGCACGCAAACCAACATGGGAATGAAAGATGGTAACATGTCGAGGAGTAAGAAATATTTCTAACGTGGATGATTAGCTTAAAAATCTGTGCAAAAGCCAAGTGCCATGTCCAGAGAGCCAGTACACTTTGGATTGTTTCCCACGTCAAGATTAGTTAGATGTCCCCATCGGTTGATTAGCTTGGCAGAGAGGTAAGTACTGGCAGTTCCCAAGATGGCATTTCCTTATGATTTAATCAGTACAGGAAATGCATAATTTTTTCATCTGAGGGAACATATAAACAGTGGGCTTTGACCCTCCAAGACATCTTCCTTGTTCTTTTGGCTATTGTTATTTTTCCCAGCACAAGGCTGATTTTTGAGCCGTCAGAATAAGATCAACATGGCTCTGATCCTGCTTAACGGCCATCTGCTTGAGGAGCAACTTGAAAGGAGCATTGCCAATCGCCTGCCGTATATTTTTAGCTGGAAGATTAGGCCCATCTTCTCAGCTTTCCATATCACATCTATCTTTCAGCTTGCTCCAGTTCTCTTTAGCCCTGGGTGTTGTTGATGCTACTCAGGTTCCAGGATTCATAAACCCGATTGAAAGCCGAGTATCATGGTTGTGGTTTTGAGCCCACTTCTTGTTGGCCAAGGAGAAGAAAAGAGAATGCTTACTTCTCTGGAGAGAGATCAGGAATGTTTTATCTTTTCCAGCCGAGTCTGTTCATTCTTGCTTCACCTTTTTTTTTTTCCAAAAAAAGAGGGCTCCAGAGGAGGAAGGCAGTCTGTGAGTTACTATCTGTAGGCATCTATGTAGTTAGTACTACAGAAGAAGCAATTCCAGGCTCTTCCACTTTCTTTTGCTCTTTTCATGTGGTTATTTCCTCTAAACAGTTTCCTTTGGAGGAAGAATATGTCTTTAGGGGGCAGAAGGGGGCAACTACTGAGATGGTGGGGATGCTGTTGAGCCTCTCAGCCTTCTGCAAGGCCATTTCTTGATGTTGTGTCATCACCTGGATGATTATGGCTGAATTTTTCTGGCTCTTTTCAAGATGTTCGAGGAACGGGAATAGAAAAACTTTGGGAAGTGAGACCACGATTACTGCTATACTTGAACAATGGCCCCAAATCTTATCCTCAAAATTCAACCCTTTTGCCCATCTTGATTGACATATAGCCTATTTGACCTGAATAAGTGGATTGGTAGAAACCAAAGAGGAGGTGGAAACACTGCTGGCTTCGGTTCAGTTGATTTTGCCTTCAAGTGAGTCAGGCGGGTGGGGGAGGAAAGGGAGGGAGGGCAGCTGGGCTTGTGAGCAAGACCCTTGAAGAATTCAGTCAGCTACTTGGCAGGAAGTTATTTCCTTCAAGCAGGATTCTGAAATGACTCTTGCTTGAGAGAGCTGGGAGGACAATGGGCTTCGGTTTGATGGCTCAGCTGAGCTTCATGTTTCTTGGAGAAGAATAAGAACCGTTTGGTCAGAATTAGTTTCCCCTCTTGATTTATCCCTTGTAGTTGTACAGAAAGCGCAATCTTTCCTTGGGTCTTCTGTAGGAATGATTTCCACCCCCCCCCCCAAAAAAAACCCCAACCCTGATTCTCAGGAAGTAGGAACTGAAAGTTGAAGTGGTCAGTTTCCACCCAAGATGTTTCAAAGGTTCCCTTTTTGCACCCTAAGCACTTCTGAAAATGAGAACATGATTAATTTGTGAAATATTTTCTCCTGCTAGACAGAAAAAATGTTGACCTTTTTCCTTTTCCATGACATACAATGGAAGCCATTGGCAGCCTGGCCACTAATAAGAAGTGGCATCCATTAAAACCCATGACAAAGGCGTTACTGTGCGCAGTTGCTCTTTGTAGGCATCAACAGCTAACAAATTAGACATTTGGGGGGGGGGGTAGGGAAGGAAATCAAAGTTGCAGGCGTCCTTGGAGGCAGCATATTTTTAGTGGTTGTTTTTCTGCCCCTTCGTAATTTCTCAATAAAAATATTTTTTTAAGGGGTTCTGGATTGCTTGTTCCCATCTGAAGATTGTTTCTCTTTTTCTTCCTCCACCTTCAGGTGTGTCTTGCAATAGCACACTACTCGCAACCCGCAGACCTCCAGCTGCTTTTTGCATTTGAATATGTGGGCAAGAAATACCACAATCCAGGTAATGGAGGCCTTTGAGACGCTAGGTGCGGGGGTGCTTTTTAAATTGGATCCTCCTGGATATTAACTTCTGTCCCAGTTATTTGATGATTCAAGAAGCCCCGTGGTCTTGGGCCATGTATATTGTTCTTTCTATGTTCATCTGGTTTGATAAAAGTAATGCAGAGGAAGATTTAGTAGAAGAGAATCCATTAGTAGCTCAGGGTTGAGTTCTGGTGCTCTCTGAGTTTGGTGGCTTTCTTGCAGATGTTTCATGATCTAACTAGGTCACATCGTCATTGAGAATCCAACTACCCAGAGGAGTTTGGGGACCTTTGCTGGTCTCAAATGTATCAATCCTTTCCGTTTATATGTCTTCGTTCATTGGACATCTGAATAGGTTCTTCCCCCTTCCACTGGCGATAGGCTTCTTTCCTGGTCCAGAAGTGTCTCACTGAGGATATGCCAGAGTCTTGCTAGATGGCTCAGTTGCTTTCTGCCCAGATCTTGGCTGTTCCTGCTGAGTTGGGTGGCAACCTTCTCCACTTAGTGGTCCGCCTATCAGTTCCAATTTTCTAGAAATGTCTTTGGGGAAGATGCAAGTTTTATTACTTCTAGAACTTCTTTATTGAAGACCTTCAGAATAATCTCTGAAGCTTGGGAATGATGGGATTTGAATGTCACTAATTCTGTATTAGACGCAGATGTTATAGAAGAAGTGGGGGAAACGGGTCCATCCCAACTTTTAACATAAGTCATACCAGTTCTCCCATGAAGCTGTGGGAGACGTTTTGTCCTATCAAAAACTTTTGAGTGCTATTCAAGCAGCAGAATAGCAGATGGGCAAAGTGACCCCTGCAGAACCACAGACCAGGAGAGTCTGACAACAGTTGGAGAATTAGGGAAACTTAGCCTAGTGATCACTGCAGTTAAAAAACAAAAACCTCACTGTGGTTTACAGCACTTCAGTTCAGGTTTTTCCTCTGTTAAAAATAACCACATTGAATGTTGATTGTGCTCTGTTTTTCTTCTAAAATCCCTTGCCTCTGTGTGTTTCCACTCTGAAATGAAAATACCATCCTTGCTTTGTTTCTTCCAGTAAAAAAGGTGAATGGAATAGACCCTGGAGGAGGAGGAGGAGGTGGGGGTGGTCATCATCAGACTCCCTTGTTTGAAACTTTCTCAGACTGGGACAGAGAGATCAAGAGAACGGGAGCATCCGAATGGCGTGTGTGTTCGGTCAATGAAGGTTACATGATATCCACCAGGTAAATCTTCCTAAGAAAGTGGCAGGATATGTGGGAAATGTAGGACATCACCTGCTCTTCCCATGAGCTCTTCTCTTTAGAGATGACCACCGATGTCTACTCGGAAGGAGAAAGGGTGTTCGGATGGCTCGGACGTCTTCTGGGGCTCCATATTTTTAAGATCTTGGGTTGGAATTCAAATGACTGACTTCACACTTCCAAAGATGGGTGTTTTTTTCTGTTTTCTTTCCAAAGTCTTCCAGAATATTTTGTGGTCCCCTCCTCTCTGGCGGATCAAGATCTGAAGCTGTATTCTTACGCTTTCACCGGACGACGGATGCCAGTAAGCGTGAAGCTGATGTGGTGGGCCTTTCTTTCTCAAGTGTCAGAAGGGAGGGTGGTGAAAGAAATGGAGGCTGGTTTGATGGGTTTGTTTTCTTTTTGGCAAGCCTCCGTGTTGGGATAACAACAAACAAACAAAAAATATCAGAAGCTTGGTAGCACCTTTTCTGACAAGTTTTATTAAAAGGCATATGCTTATTAAATCTGTTAGTTGGAAAGGATGCAATCAGATTCTTGCTGTTTTGACGCCATAGATCAGTATTCCTCAATCTTGGCAGCTTGAAGATGGGTGGACTTCCAGAATTCTGGGAGTTGAAATCCACCCATTCTCAAGCTACCAAAGTTGAGAAACACACCCATAGATTAACTCTTCTCCTACTTTCCTAGCAATTCAGGTCCCTACCCTTTGCCCTGTCATTGAGCTGCTCGCAGGCACTTTTTGAATCTTTTGTCTGTTACAATCAGTTGAAAACAAAGTTTTTAAGATGCTGTTGAATTTCATTATACAATAATGTGTGGAACTTACCACCCACCTTAAAAATCTACCTTGGTTTCCTAGATGTGGTGTTGGAACCATTCCAACGGGAACGCTCTGGTGAGGGTGGCCCATATCAAGGACAGCTTGCAGCAACGAAAAATAGACCAACGGTAGGGATTGTGCTGGCCTGCTTCCATTTGCCTTGTTTTCAACCTAACTTTCTTGCCCAAGCTGAGAAAGCAGAGAGACAAAATAAAAGCGAGGTCAACCATTGACCAGGATGGTGGAAGATCTCCTGCCTCCAAGGTCCCTTCCAGCCTGATGATTCTGTGTTCCTTTGGCTTTCTGCTCGACAGGGTCCTCTTAAAGCACCATCTCCCTCCAGATAGCCAGTGGTGAAAATTGCAGATATTGGAAGGAACTCTGTTGGTGGATGGATGGATGGATGGATGGATGGGGTTGGGTGAATGGATGGGTGGGTGGGTGGATGGGAGGGAGGGAGGGATGGATGAGTGGGTGGATGGATGGATGGATGGATGGATGGATGGATGGGTGAGTGGGTGGGTGGGTGAATGGATGGGTGGGTGGCTGGATGGGAGGGAGGGAGGGATGGATGAGTGGGTGGATGGGATGGATGGATGGATGGGGAGTGGGTGGGTGGGTGAATGGATGGGTGGGTGGTGGATGGGAGGGAGGGAGGGATGGATGAGTGGGTGATGGATGGATGGATGGATGGATGGATGGGTGAGTGGGTGGGTGTGTGGGTGAATGGATGGGTGGGTGGGTGGATGGGAGGGAGGGATGGATGAGTGGGTGGATGGATGAGTGGGTGGATGGATGGATGGATGGATGGGTGAGGGTGGGTGGGTGGGTGGGTGGGAGGGAGGGATGGATGAGTGGATGGATGGATGGATGGATGGGTGAGTGGGTGGGTGGGTGGGTGAGTGGATGGATGGGTGGGTGGGTGGATGGATGGGTGGATGGGTGAGTGGGTGGATGGATGGATGGGTGAGTGGGTGAGTGGGTGGGTGGGTGGATGGATGGGTGGGTGGGTGGATGGATGGGTGGATGGGTGAGTGGGTGGATGGATGGATGGATGGATGGATGGATGAGTGGATGGATTGTTAGAACATCAGATTGAGGGGAACTGGCTTATTAAGTTTCAAGGGATGTCCTTATAAATCATTTAACCCTGTTTCATATTATCAAGTCTTCACAGAAAGGCCAGGTAATTGACTCAGCTCTGAAGTATGATGGGATGGTGTCACTTCTCTTAGCCACCCTCTGCTGGGGCCATCTGGTGCTTCCTAGAAGAGTATTTTGGGGTTGGGTGTGCCCTTGCCCACAGGATACAGCTTGGGGAAGGAGAGGGGAGCTTGCAGCTGCACTCCAGGCTGAGAAGGGACTTTGGGGGCCAGCTGTGGGGTGAAGCTGTCATGAGACACTTCTAAAAATGTCCTCAGTACCATTTCTCTTCTTTTTCTTTTAGGATTTGCAATGCTGTCACCAGAAGTCATCCACAGAGGAGTGACGTTTACAAGTCTGACTTAGATAAATGCCTGCCAAATGTCCACGAAATCCAGACGGCTTTCCTGAAACTGAAGCAGTTATGTGTGAATGGTAACGTCTTCTAAACCAGGGTTGGTTCTTGAAATTGCCAAAGAGGCGGACAATCTGAGACAAGCAGATTCCATGTAAAACATATTAACTTCTCAAAGACGAGTCCAAAAAGGATTACTTAAATAACACTGAGCATCTGGTAACAACCGCTCTCTAATCGTATTAAGTCTCGAGATAAGAAGAAGAAAAGGCTTCTTCTGTGTTTCTAAATATATACTCTGGATTATTTTTAATTCTCAAAACCTGGAGAACGTAAGTGCGGGAGGACTGCAGTATCATTTCCACTTCCCTTTGTGTCATCCGGGGAATGAATATCCAGATTTGGCTCCCATCTTGGCCTAATTCTTTAAATATCTATACGCAGCATTATTTTGGGGGGAGAATTAATCTGATTAATATTTGCCATATTTTTGGGTAGGGCCAGTCATAGGCTTAGTGGAAGGTTCTGGAGCAGTGGTTCTCAACCTGTGGGTCGGGACCCCATTTGGGGTCGAATGACCATTTCACGGGGGTCGCCAAACCACGCTGTCCGCCATTTTTTTCCCTTTTCCCTAGCTGTCCTACTCCCTCTTATTGGTGGCCACACCCACTTGGGGGTCACCACAACATAGGGAACTGTATTATGGGGTCACGGCATTAGAAAGGTTGAGAACCACTGTTCTGGAGGAACTTGTATGCAAACCTTAAAGAAATGTGTCCATCTCTCCTCTCTTAATCCTGCTGAAGCAACCTGGAACTGTTGTGTTTGGCCTGTTTTTCAAAGAGAATCACATCATCCTATAATGCAAAGACATTCTTGAAAATAACGTATCTCTTTGTCTCAGAGCCTTTTGAAGACACTGAGGAGAAGTGGCTTTCCTTGCTGGACAATTCACGTTGGCTGGAGTACGCAAGGTAGGAAATCTGGAGGGCCACTTCCCATAAAAACAAGATCAATTAAAGATTAACGTTATTATGACTTGCAAATAATCCTCAGAAAGAATCTTATCTACACCTGTTGTAGAAGACCCTAGTTCTGAAAACAAGACTCTCTTTCCGGGGCAATCAGCATTGCCAGGCATTAAAGCTAACCTTTCTGGAAATTTTGTATGATAATTAACCTGTACGTTCATCTAAGGTGATCTAGATTTGGGGATCTCTTGATCTAGAATCTTCCTGAAGCATGCTGCAGAACTGGTCTACATGCTGGACAGCAAACATGTTTCAGTAATATTACAAGGTAAGCTAGTCTGTTTTGAAAAACCGTGTTGATGCTCATACAAAATCTTTAGGTGACCGTCATTAAGCATTTATTAAAAAAAATAATTATTTAATTATTTAAGGGAGTGTTGACACCATGATCAGGATTAATTCTCCCAGTTCTTTCCCATAGACTTATCTTTACTCCACGCCATAAACAGAACTCTGTTCTTCTCTCATCCAGCCTCTTCCTAGCATTCATCTCGTACAGAGACACGTTAAACCAGATTGATTGCATACGGTTGACGTTTTGATGAGTTGTGTAGGCTGAAGCTGGTTTCGATGAATGTTCATGAAACTTGATACTCTGTAATGAATGTATATTTCTAGACGGTCACTTGTTGAGCAGGGGGGCTCTGGTTAAATTATACAACATAGGAAAGCAGTTTTGTATTAAAAACACATCATTCCTTCCTTCCACAGAAGAAGAAGGGCGAGACCTAAGCTGCTGTGTGGCGTCTCTTATCCAAGTGATGTTGGATCCCCATTTTCGGACCATCGCTGGATTTCAAAGTCTGATTCAGAAGGAGTGGGTCATGGCAGGACACCCGTTTCTGGACAGGTGCAATCACTTGAAGAAATCTGAAAAAGAGGTAATAGGATGAAAAAAGTCCCAAGTTGAAGAAATATGTAGGGGTAGTTAGCATTTCTCCACCCAGAAAAGGTATTTCAGTGATCTGTTTCATTCAACAGGGGAGAGCGGGCAAGGGGCACGGAGTCAGTGTGCATTGACTATCCTGATCACAGCTTGAGCTCTTGTGAGTCCAGGCAAATGCCTGGTGGATCAGTGCAAAAAATGCTTGGATCAAGACATTTAATGGTGGAACTTAGTGAATCTTTCTTGATCTTCCCACTAAAAAAAAATACGGAGAGCCAAACCTGCTTCATACTTGGATGGAAACCAGTAAGAAATCCCACAGGTGTTGGGGACATTTGGAAGTCTGAAAGGACATCATTAAAAAGACCACAGGAAGCCAACTCATGGTTGAGTCTATAAAGTCATTAGAGTTGAACTCAACTTGAGGGAGCTTTCATTTGCTTTGTAATCAATTTAGGCCACCACAGAGGTCTAACCTCTGTCTGTCTCCTTCTCCCTCTAGTCTCCTTTGTTCCTGATGTTCCTTGACTGTGTCTGGCAGCTACTTGAGCAGTACCCATCGGCCTTTGAGTTCTCTGAAGCTTACTTGACCATACTGTACGACAGCACACGGATCTCACTGTTTGGTACTTTCCTCTTCAATTCTCCACATCAGAGAGTAAAGCAAAGCACGGTGGGTGCCACATATGACCGGCCAATTTAAGAAGGACACTTGAGGGTCAAACCATGGGGCAACACTGAAATGTGTGAAGAGCCTGATCTTAGCTGGAGTCAGGAGAGTATCTGTCATGGTAGTAGTACAATTGTGATTTTTGTTTCTGAGCAGGCATGCTGCACTTCAGTAGAGCTTTTCCGTTGTGTAGTTTACACTTCAAAGGAAAGGGTAGTGTGAGGCACAGAACCTTTTGTGCTGTAGAATTGTGACAATGCTGGACTTTGATTTTTAACCTTTATCGATCTTTGAATAGAAATAAATCTCAACTCAGGGAAGGAGGTCTTGGATGCTTCTTTGAACCTCTTTTCGTTTGTCTGCTTCCAGGAATTTGCCATCAGCAAAAATATTCAGCTGGGTGATGAGAAAGGGCTGAGATTTCCTTCCGTTTGGGATTGGTCCCTTCAGTTCACAGCGCGGGATCGCCTGCTCTTTCACAACCCCCTGTACATTGGGAAGAGCACACCCTGTGTGTGCAACGGGACCGTGAAAAGCTTTAAACGATCAAAGGTAAGGACAGGGCAATGGGGCCAACTTATGGGACACCAATTAAGGCAAAGTCTCTTTGAAGCATTTCCGTCCTATAACCACCACCACCCCATATCTGGGCTACTCTGTGTGGGCCTCAGATCAGAAAAGCCAACTCCACGGGAAGGCTGAATTATTTTGATTGAGGTTGGCTGTCATAACAACTTGCAAGTCTGATTGTGCTGGACCTTCCTCCCTCTTATACTTCTGTGAATTGGGGAGGTGTCTTTCTGAGCCTCTTCAGAATATTGTCTGCCTGTGGCAGGCTTTAGCCATGTTTCACCCATCACTGCTTGTATATCTTTTCCTTACTCTCTATGGCAGTGATTCTCAACCTTGGCAGCTTTAAGACATGTGGACTTCAACTCCCAGAATTCCCCAGCCAGCCGACACTGCTCTCCATGGTCTGCCTCTCCTTAGACCAAATGAATCTGGCCTTCCCTGCCTGCTTCCCCTAATCTTTCACAGCCATATGGGATCCCCAATATGTTATTGAAGGTCTATCCTTGAGGACCTGCAGAATTTTGGACTAGATAGCCATAGGTCATATCTTTGGTTGCCTTAATTTTGCTTCTTGATTCAGTTAACATGAATCAACCATAATCTGGTGCAGTGAACAATGGGAAACTCAAACTTATTCCACCTTTCGCTCCCTAGAAGAACTACAGTTCAACCCTCAGAGGTCTCCCATCTTCCTTCAAGAATGGACTCATCAACGAACAGGACTTCCTCCCCAGGAGAAACTCCCTGATCCTCAAACTGAAACCCGACTTCCTTCATCACATGGACAACACTACCAACGGCATGGAGCAGTATTTCCAAGACTGGTTCTCCAAGCCAACGGACCTTCACGGTGTGATCCTGCCCCGCCTCTCCGGGACACAGATCAAGCTCTGGAAACTCTGCTACTTCCGTTGGATCCCCGAGGCCCAGATCAACCATGGGGGTTTCATCACAGCCTTTCACAAAATTTCTCTGTTGGCCGACGAGGTGGAAACCTTGAACAGGAGCTTGAGGCAGCACAACAGAAGTTCCCGGCTATTGGCCAACGCACCTGAGCAGGACCAGAGTCGCCTGTACTTCCGAGCCCACGGGCTCAGTGACGGCTCCACCACGCCTGACTTTCTCTCGTCCGCTTTTCCATTCTCCCCTGTGGGCAACCTCTGTCGGCGCAGCATCCTGGGCACGCCCCTGAGCAAATTCTTGAGCGGTGCCAAAATTTGGTTGTCCACCGAGACCCTTGCCAACGAAGACTAACCCTAGGAGCCAGCGAAGAAGAAGAAACGGCAGTCTTAACACGACACCGCTAGCCGGAAGCTGTCCTAACTTTATAGACCACATTGATGTTTTTGCACAAAGTATTTAAAGGCAAAATCCTCATGTTTTCATAATGCACAGGTTATTATTTTTGGTTTAGTTTGGTTTTAACGTTGCAACCGATCCGTTGATCGTCTTCTTGTTTCACCCGTGATTCTTCCTGCTGTCTTGGTTGATAGGACTCGTGCTTTTTGAAGTTGATTCACCCTCCTGATGCACATCGAAGGTTGGGCTTGATGATTGTGCTTTATTTCTGTTTGTGAGGCTCCTCTGTTTGAGTTGACAGCTGAAGCCTGCAGCTTGACAAGCGGGAATGAAGGGAGAGAAATAGCAAAGAAAACAAAAGAGAGAGAGAGAGAGAGATTTGCGGGGTGACTAACCAGTGCAAAATACTAGAGCAATATATTTTTCCCCCCTCAGGTGGTAAGACCAATCTCATGATGATTTAAAAGTTCACATTGCTGTGAATTTCAGCCAGAACTTTTACAGTTCCATTCAAGTAAATTAAATTAACTTTATGCCTCCCTTTTGATCATCAATGGTTACGTTTGGCCCAGCTCTCTTATTTATTTATTTAGAGTTTGAGATTGCCTTGTAGTTTACAAAAATCTGCCTCCAGAATTGCATATGCTGCCAATGAGTTGATGCTGGTGTGACAGTTGGTGTCTCTTAGCTGATTAAAATCAAGAAACTAGTTGGAAAAATCTTATGGCTTTAACCTGGTTAAAGGATAAAGAGAAATAACTGCCCATATTGGCTCCAGACATTGTAGTTTGGGACCGTTCTATCAGCATGTATGCAAAAACAACATTTTTTTAACACTAACCTTAAAAGTGCCTTTTCTTGCATTGACGTTAATATTTGCCTGGAACTCAGTTATATTCATTTGATAAGCTAACATTCTGCCTCTTGAGGTAGCCCGTTTCCAGTCCCCTTCATAGTGATTTCTGGAGGTGCTTTAAAGATTATTATCCTCTAGCCAGGAAAAGAAATCTTAACTGACAAATTGTTGAGTATTAACTGACTGTGAATGGGCCATGGATGGGCTTGGTCAGAATCAGCATACTTGGAAGGAAATATTGTTTTTTATATATAGTTAGGGACTCTTTTTTTTTTTTTTTTTACAATTTAGTTCAGTGTTTCTCAACCTGGGCTACTTTAGGATGGTGGATTTCAACTCCCAGAATGGCTGGGGAATGCTGGGGGTGAGGGCCACTCATCTTCACGTTGCGGGGATTGAGAAGCACCAGTTTAGGTTGAATTCAGCCAAGATGTTGGTAGAATTCTTTAAGAGCCCCAAAGGTGTCATGATTGCAGGATCTGAGGGGTAGTGTGTGTGTGTGGGGGGAGGGGGATTTTAGGAGGATTTGGGGCAATCTGGACATGCCAGGGACATTCAGTCGTGTCTTGTTTGAGCAGGTAGAAGTGTTTTGAAAGATGAGTCACCGCTACCATCCTGTACTGGGAAGATGGCTTCAAGGCCTAGTCAGGAGGCCACGGAAACCTCTTCTGTTTTGTGAGATGAATAGTTCTCTGGAAAATGTCTTGTGTTCGGCTCCATTGGGAGAAGAGAACACCCACAAAGGTTCTCAAATATTTTAGGTACTGATGCTGATCCAACAGTAGACAAATAGCACATAGTCACAGTTCTGCTGTTTGGGACAAGGAAAGATTGGATCCCATTTGATCTCCTTCCTCACAAAATAGACCTTTTAACGTGCGCTGTGTGGGGCAACCTGGGGATCAAGCCTACCGTTTGCAACCTGTCTAACCATTGTTGAATTGGGGTCCCATTATCAAGTCTGTTATGCTCTCCTCCCCTCCCAACCCCCAACTGTCTCTGCAGTTGGTCACCCAGCTGCTGATCATTCAAGGACATTAATTACATAACTGAAGTCTCTTTCTGAATCATCTTAACCATCTTCAATGGAGCAAAAGTTTAATTTTCTTAACTGTTGAGTTCCTTCCATCCAGGATTTTTCGTAGGGGTGAGGGAAATCAATTCCTTTTTATTAAGGTGACTTTCTTATGGATTCTCTACTTAAAATGCTTTAGTCTTAATGGCATTTCAGATGTATCAAATTTTGCTAATTAAAGTGGGATGAGTATATATATTTTGCAAAAAAAAAACAACCGATAACTATGTAAGGTGATTAACTTTTGAGATGTGTATTGTATGTATGCCTGACCCTCTTTTTACAGGAATTTTTTAATTGTGCATTTTTGTAACGTGTGACTTTCCTTTTTTTTTTTTTTTACCCATGTGGTATGGCAGAACTTTGCCTTTAAATAGTTGCCCTGATGAAATGGGAGGAAAATGGCTTTGTGTGATGGTAGTGTGTGAAGCAGATACAGGCGGTTAACTACAGTTAGGTAGGCCTGTGATTGCTCATGTCAGTAGATCTGCTAAGCTAATTTGGCAGGGAATGCTCATGAAATAAGCATTATTTACTGTTAAGGCATCGTGCTTAGCAGGGGAACCTGACATAGGGGTCTTGGACCATAGAATCTTAATTCGTCTTAAGTGAAAATACCTCTTTGAAGTGAATATGGTGATCAGAAATGAAGGGAAGTTACGAGTGATTCAGCCTTGGGAACCTGTTGGCCTTTCAGATGGTCTAAATCAGGGGGTCTTCAAACATGGCTGTTTTATGACTTGTGGACTTCAGCTCCCAGAATTCCTCAGCCAGCATGGCTGGCTGAGGAATTCTGGGAGCTGAAGTCCACAAGTTATGAAAGGGTTAAGTTTGAAGAACCCTGGCCTAAATCGTCTTTTCCCCATGGGATGTGCTGGTGAGGACTTCTAAAACGGGGCTTCCCAACCATGCAACTTTTAAGACATGTAGACCATCTTCCAGAATTCCCCAGCCAAGTTCTCAGAGATTCTGGGAGTTGACATCTACGCATCTTAAAAACTGCATGGTTTTGGAAACCCTGTGCTAGACGTTGTTTGGCTTAGCAACCTCTGAAGCCTCCATCAATCCCATCCTTTTTCTGGACCATGAATTGGTCTTCTGTGACGTCCAAGTGTGATGGCCCAACGCTCAGAACTTCCCAGACTGATCACCTAATTGCAGTAGCTCTGCCAGTGCCTTTGTGTGCCATGTGGTGATATGGAGAAGACTAGATAGCTTGGTTGATTGAGGTGGGTGGATGGCTGCTCCTTGGTCTTCATCCTGGCAAAAGGGTCCTTTTCCCCAGAGAAGGAATTGTTAGGGAGCTCCAGAAGGTAATAGAGCTTCTCTCGGGAATGTTTTAACGCCCATCGTAGACTTCAGAAACAAGAACCAGCTGCTCGGGGACCAGGAATGGTCTGGTGGCCAACCTGGCTTTTGTCATATCTTCTGCCAACTCGATGGAGTGTGTAAACTTAAAGTAGGGGTGGGGGATTCCTCCCCCAACACCAGTGAGCAGCCCTTGTATCTTACTCTTTTTTAAAGCAGGTACTTTCCACGGTGAAGTTTTTATAACTGTGCAAAACAAGATGGTTATTTTTGTACGTTTGTTTAATAGCAAGAGGGTTGCTTGAGCTGAAGGAGGCGGTTGCTGTAATTGAACTGTGTAAAAATAAAAAACCCACTTTTGATACTGTCGAGTAGATTTTAGCTGCTGCGTGCCGGAAGGTGACTATGGTATATTTTGCCATGGGTGTGTAATTTTCTTAGGCAGATCAGCAATCCTAAAAAATGTGTTCACCATGGCAGAAGGTCTCTCCTTTCAATTCTGGTGCTTTTGAGGGGTCCTTCCTGTTAAATTCTGGCTGATCTTTCCCCAAAAAGTGTATTTTAAAATATGCCAAACATGCTTGACCTTTTCCAAGGAAAAGTGAATTAGGCCATCAGGAAAGTGGAATTCTGTGACGCTTTATGAAAATGGAACTGGAGAGAGAAATCCCATTTTTTTATGCTTTTGGAAGACTAAAGCAGATGTCTATCCCCGGCAACTTTAAGAGTAATGGACTTCAGCTCCCAGAGTTCCCCAGCCAGCATGGGAGACATGGCTGGCTAGGGAATTCTGGGAATTGAAGTCCACAAGTCTTCAAATTGGACGCCCCAATCTAAAGCTTTGATGTTCCTAAGGGCCTACCTAAGCACAGCTGAGCTGACAGGGAGACCTTCCATCTGCCGCAATTATGAAAGTGCAAATAAATGAAGCTTAATAAAAATCAACCTGCCCTCTTTGTCTGGGATTGTTTCTGTCACTTTCGGATTCGAAGAAAAGGCGGTGGGAAGGGAAGGAACGTGAAAGGTAGTTCTTGACCTATGACCATAATTGAGCCTGGAATTAGTCGTTAAGCGGGTCACGACTGAGCCCCCTAATTTTTTCCCCCAATGGCGGTTATCAAATGCAGCATTCAGCAAATCTGTTCTCTACTGTGGGCTTCCATCCCACCCCACCCCACCCCGAAACCAGAAATTTAGCACCAGTTTCTGGCGAAATCTTTATAAATCAGGGTTATGGCTACTTAGCCATAAATGCAGGTCAGCTGCCAAATGCCAAAAATGCAATCACGTGACGGGGGTGGTGGCTGTCAGCACTTCAAACCTGGGTTCTAAGCAGCCCCAGGAAGGCCCGTCGTAACTTTGAACACTCACTAAGCAACCGGTTATAAATCGAGAACTCCCTGCACGTTCCTCAGAATAGGAATAATAGAGTTGGAAGGGACCTTGGAGGTCATCTAGTCCAACCCCCGGCTCAGGCAAGAAACCCTATACCATTTGAGACAAATGGCTGTCCAATCTCTTCTTAAAAACTTCCAGTAACTGATACTCGTTAAATTGCGTTAAAAAGTCGGACCCACACAAAACCGGACTCTTCGAAAGACAGTTTCATCCTTTGGGGAGAATCACAATCAGGACAGGAAATTCCAGCTGCTGTTCTCGAACCCAAGACTTCCACTTCCCAAAACCGAGTCTGAAGCTGTGTCTTCTGTGCAAGCACATCCACGGAAAGTCTGAAGCGAAGCCGTAGAAGAAGCACCAGGGAAAATCCAACGGCTGCATCAAAAGATTTTATTTTATTGCACTCGATCCCAGACATACACACACCCCTCAGGTCAGGCGCTGACTTTTAGACCCGACGGCCACCACGTGACAAACTTCGACCGAGGCACCCAACTTCTGCAGCTCGTCCAGCCACACCGTCTGCTTGTGCGAAAGGCGGTCGCCGGGCCCCTTGACCTCCACCAGCTGGAGCGTCCGAAGAGGGGGGGGGGGAGAGGCAAAAGACAAGTGTGCAAATCATCATTCCACAATTCGAATGAGCAAAGCAACACCTTCTCTTGAGGAAAGTCGTTCCCACCCTCCCCAGAAATAGAAAAGAAAAAACTATCGCAAAATGTGGGCGGGATGCTGCAAACAGCCGTAAAAGTGGGCAGTTGCTAAGCCCCCCAAATGCAGTCGCAGGAGAGGCGGGTGCAGCCATTATGACTTTGGAACCAAGTCGTAAATACCCCTGGAGAGGTCTGTTGTGACTCTGAACCATCACAAAGTGTCTTGGGCGTAAGTCAAGGACCATGGGTAGCTTGTGATTTGTGAGTACAAGATCAATCTCGAGCCGTGGTCTTTCCGGGGGGGACCTCTCCCCCCCTCTGGCTCCTGACAAGGGACGTTTCTCGAGGGGACCCCTCTCTTGAGGCGGGTGCAGGGGGCATCTGGGAAGGTACCTTAAATTGCCGCTCTTCCATTCTCCAGACCACAAGATCAGGGAGCCCCCCCCTGCAATGGCGCAGATCTCGGGAGAGTCGCCGGCAAACTCCACTCAGGAAGGGGCCTCCTAAGCAGCAGACCAGGCTCTGCAAAACGGGGGGGGGGGGTTTAAACCTCAGGAAGACCATCACTTCTAGCAAAGCAAAATGTGGGAGTCTCGTTCTGTTTCTAGGCTCAGCTTGAAAAGCGAGGCAATCTGCTCCATCGGTTTTGCAAAAGTACATTTACAGGCCATTGGCTCCTTCTCCTCCTCCTGGCTCTGAAGGGTAGCTGAGAAGCTTCCAAGAGAAGAAGCCCCTTCAGGACACTTAAAGACTATTTAGTAATAAAGCTTCTCCTTATTTTAATGTGCAGGTTTCCTGTATTTTCCTTGACGGAATGCAAAGGTCTGCTTACAGTCTCACCTCAGTGTTTCTCAACCTCAGTAGCTTTAAGATGGGTGGACTTCAATTCCCAGAATTCCCCAGCCAACCCTTTTTGCAGCAAGGCTCCGTTTCCAGAACCTGGAAACCATCTCTGGAGACGCCCGGAGGGAACCTGGCACTGTGTGTGTCTGCAAAACCATGGCTCTACAGAGGGGCTCTTCCCCACTCACCTGGGCTTGCTGGAGGGAAGAGAAGCGGTCCCAGCTGATCAGCGTAGAGGCTTTGCCCTCCTGGGCACCCCACACTTCGCCCACCCACTTCTGGAGGGTCTCAGCCGAAGCATCGTGCAGCGACTGCAACCTTGCCTCAATAGCCGCCTGGCGATTCTTGTAAAAGCTGCTTGTGTACAGGTCCAGTGGGAAAGCCTTGGGATGGAGAGGGGATAATTTCATTTAAAACTCCCACGCATAAAAGATATACAATGATTTACAATCCCTTGGTAAGGCCACACTTGGAATACGGCATCCAGTTTTGGTTACCACGATGTAAAAAAGATGTTGAGACTCTAGAAAGAGTACAGAGAAGAGCAACAAAGATGATTGGGGGACTGGAGGCTAAAACATATAAGGAACGGCTGCTGGAATTGGATATGTCTAGTTTAACGAAGAGAAGGATGAGGGGGGACATGATAGCCGTGTTCCAATATCTCGGGCTGCCCCAAAGAAGAGGGAGTCAAGCTAATATCCAAAGCACCTAAGGACAGGACAAGAAGCAACGTGTGGAAACTAACCCAGGAGAGAAGCAACCTGGAACTAAGGAGAAACTTCCTGACAGTGAGAACAATTAACCAGTGGAACAACCTGCCTCCAGAAGCGGTGAATGCTCCAACACAGGAGGTTTTTAAGAAGAGACTGGACAGCCATTTGTCTGAAATGGTATAGGCTTTCCTGCCTGAGCAGGGGGTTGGACTAGATGACCTCCAAGGTCCCTTCTAACTTTATTGTTGTTGTTAATAATAATAATAATAATAATAATAATAATAATAATGACAGCAACAGACAGTAAGTGCCGCCTATGCAAAGAAGCTGAAGAAACAGTGGACCACTTGGTAAGCTGTTGCAAGAAGATTGCACAGACTGATTACAAGCAGCGGCATGACAAAGTAGCAACAATGGTGCATTG